TAAAAATATACTTCATTAAATGGAAAGTCATAAGATATTAGGGATGACCTATTTTTAAAATAAAAAAATTTCTGCCCATCGACCCATAACCCGTTTAACCAAATAAACCCATGGGATCCCTTGTATTTCCTGCAATTCTTAGATCTGCTTCGTGTGTGCTCTACCAGAGAAAGACAAAATTCATCGCTCATTCCTCAAAATCAAAACATAACTCAAAAAAACTCTAAACCAGTTAACTCAAATAGAATGCAATCTTACAAGAAACCAAATTAAATAAGCACAATCAGCGAAATTAGGGAAGAAAAACTGCACCTTTGCAGCGTTCACAGAGAAATTTTGGTAGCAAAATCATAAGACATGGCACTTCTCGATTTTTCTATGATGAAAAAAGTGTGTTTTGAGTGTTTCCCGTATAAAATTATGGGTTTTTTTTATTTATATGATGCATTTATTTGGTTAAACAGGTTATGGGTCGATGGGTCGAAATTTTTTTATTTTAAAAACGGGTCATCCCTAATATCTGGTAGCTTTTCGTTTTAGGTATTTTTATAAAGTTGGGTAACGGTGAGGGTGGATGTAGCCCTATAGTATAACGGAGGGTACATGTGAACATATACCAAAGTAGAGGGATATATTTGGACATTTTCCCTAGATTATACTACAATAGATTATCTCTACTATCAGTATATTTGTTGTATAGATTAATTGTATTCTACACTACATCATGAATTGATATTTTTTATACTAAGTCTAATTTTGGTAACTTAAAATACTTATTGTTAACCTGATATGACAAATTAAATACACTGATAATAAAAATTGTTTATAATATTACTATTTATAAAATAAATCTTACTATAGTGACAAATAACATATGACCTCAAGGTTCATACTATAAAAATACTCGAATGTCATTAGGCTATAAGAGCATGTGTTGGATTAGTTGAATTAAACACTCCCTTCGTTTTAGTTTATACTAGCTTTAGATTACATGTGTTGTACGTGTATTTCGTGACAATCAATTAAAGTTTGTGTAGAACGATTTATACGAAATAGTAAGGTACGTTAAAGAAGATGCACCACCTATTTATTATATTAAATAAAAAATAACTGAATATCTCTTGAACTTGTAAAGATGAACAATTTAGTATTAACGTGTGCATTTGTGTCACGGCCCGAAATTCACGTAGTCGTGATGATACTTAACACAACCCGCTAGGTAAGTCAAATATCAGTCAACACAATTCTAATGAAATTTATAAAAATCAGTAAGTGAAATAACTAAATTTCTATACAATAACCCAATGATTGGTAGTAGAAGTCATGAGCCACTACGGTTTAGATTTACAAACTGATATGAAAAATAAATACAATGTCTATTTGAAATTTACATAAACAGAGTTAAAATCCTAAACTACCCAGATCAAAAGGTAGCTTGAATATGATATTTAGCTTCAATACAATGTACAAGTCAATATCTTGCTTCAACATTGCAATAAGGTTTGAACATGATATTTAGCATAAATATAAAAATAGAAACTCCAGTATCACAACAATGGCGGATATAGATATGTGTTCATGATATAAAGTATGACCACGGCCAAATCAAGTACATAACCATCCTCAAGAATAGTCCATCGTGATCAATTAAGCTATCATAAGTTAACCACGATTTCTGGCATGGATAATTGTACTCATGTTGCCATAGAAATCAAGTAAGGTATAAGTCAAGAAGAATACGCAACTCAACAAAGCAATAAGTAATCCTAGAATCTATCCCGGGCATAAATACCCATAGCACATGTATATACACTCGTCACCTCACATATACATCACCCTCGCATGTAGTAAAAAAATATTATTTTCTAGGAAAAACTCCCGCAAACCAAAGTTAGGCAAGAAACTTACCTCATCCGGGCTAGTCTAAAGCTCCAAAACTATTTTTTCTTTTAGAATACACCTCCAAATGACTCGAATCTAGCCAAATATTAACCAAGAAAGTCAAAGAATGCTATAGGAAGCGATCCCAATCAATAAAGCTTTAATCTTTTGAAAACCCCAAAAGTCAACTAAAGTTAACCCGGTCCCACATGGTCAAAATTCAAAATCAAGACCAAATTTCGATGACCCATTTTTTTCAAGCCCAAGTATGTAAATTGTTTCAAGATCCGATCTCAAAATGAGGTCTAAATCCCCAAAATTAGCTATCTTAAGATTAAACCCTAAAACTCAACTTTTCTACCATTTAAAATTCTAGATTTAAGGGTAAAATCTATGGAAAATCATGAAAATTAACCAAAATTAAGTTAAACCATTAATCTCTGAAGTTGGGGTGATAATCCTCTAAAAAATCGCCTTTATCCGAAGTCTAGGTCTAAAAAATATTGAAAAATGGCCTAGATCCCGATTTCCAGCATTAAATACCTTGGGCCAAAACTACTCTACTCAACGCGAATGCCAATGGTCTGAGACCATCACGTTCGTGATACTACCCTCGCATTCGCTAAGGCCAGTCCCCCTTGCAAGCCTTCACGTTCGCGACCCCACTATGCGTTTGTTAAGAGCAAACCCCCACTGCCTCAAAATACTTTCTACGAATGCGAGACTAGCTCCGAGTTCGCAAAGCACTAAAATCACACTAGAAACCAGCAACTAAAACATAAACAAAAATGGTCCGAAATCATCACGAAACTCACCCCGCGCCCCTCAGGACCCCATCCAATCATCCCAACAAGTCTATACAGTCTACGAACTTGCTCGAAGACTCAAAACATCAAAAACAACATCAAAACAAGAAATAAGAATCAAATCCAAATATTCTGAAAGTTCTAAAGTTTAAATTTCCATCTAGAAGCGCCAAAATGGTCTCGGGTCACCCGGGAGCCAAACCAAATATACGTACGAGTCCAAAATCATCATACATACCTAACGAAATCATCAAATCACCAATCCGGGATCATTTACTCAAAACGCAAATCTTGGTCGAACTATTTCAATTTAAAGCTTCTAGAAAGAAAATTACTCTTCCAAAACACTCTTGAACCTCTCGGAAATCGAAATCAACCATGCACATAAGTCATAAAATATCAAATAAACCTAATCAAAGTCTTGAATCGCAAAATGGAGCGTTAGAACTCAATACGACTAGTCCGATCATCACAGTTAATATACAAAGTTGAAAAGATCCCTTCAGGTCACGACCCCAAGACCCGGCGTTCAGCCCACTATTGTTGCCTTTTGGTTAATATTTTGTCTCCTTGCCTTGAAAAAATGTTTTATGCTCTTACTTTTTTCTGCGTGTTTAGCATAGTTCTCATGTTTGGACTCACTTTTCATCTGCTCTTTTTTTTTTGTTGTTGCACTGGTAGTGCTGGTGGACATGTAGTCAATTTTGAGCTGCTTAGTGTGACTTTACTTTAACATTAGTACTAGATCTTTCTTTTAATTAAAAAAATGCAGCATGCAACTCAGGGGATTGCTGAATTTATTCCATTAAGTGAACCATCTTAACTTGTGTTTAAATTAAACAACATCAAGGCATTCACTAAGCAACCGCATAAGTGCATAGTCATAACCATAATTAAATTGAATAGCACAAAAGTAAGGACATATCATGTGTCAAAAAACAATAGTGACTCACTGAATAATAATGTCATCCATATATAACAGTATAGTGATGGCTTATACAGTAGTCAAAGCTCAAACATACTAGGGAGGGATCACATCTACTACACTCCGACACCATTCACATTCATTTTGGTTACTTGAATAGTTCTAAAAGATTCTTTTTCAGAAATGCAGAGTGGTGTGGCAATCGTGTTTGGAGATGGATCCATTTCAAGGTTGCACCCACCGACAAAGGGAAGATCAGAAGCTGGCCTCTCTCTCTATGGAAGGAAACATTGATGCAGCAGCAGTTAGAAACTGCATTAACAGTAACATAACCAAGATTTACTCAATTTGACTCCAATTCTCTGTATTCCCACCTAGCAATAGCGCTAGCCTTTGGAATGAAGCATTTATTGAAGTCATCCAAATGTTAACTTTGTGATATCTTCTAGTGATATACCAAATGTTTTCTTCTGTGTGTTATCCTGATGATATAACAAGGTGTCTGTGGGGGCTAGAGGAGTATCCAATTGTTAAGTTTCTAGCCCTTCCTGCTTACCATCTTTGTAATATGGAACAAACTCTTAGAAGCCCACCTAAACAACAGAATCGATAAACCAGATGACAGAGTATATCCTCCCTTTTCATTCATATCTTTCTGCTGCTTGGTAGTAGTTTCCTTTTGTCTCATCATACATATCATTTTGTTAAGAAAGGTATGATCACATGTGTAATTTCAGGTGCAAACAAGTGTTGTTAGAATCTCGTAGGATCTTGTAAATAAAGTATAGCTTGATTCTCTTTTCTTTCTTAGAGTATGTACACTAGCTATTTGGCTTGAGGGAATAATCAAGCTGAGTTCTCTCTCAAACTCTCTGCTTGATAAATTTGGAAGACCTTCCCATGGATGTTGTTGACTTAGAAGAGAAGTGATACCTCATACCAGATGCACTTTCCTTAAGAATAATGTAAGGTCTACTATTTGAGATATGGACTAAAATTTTGACTTCTCTTGTGTAAAAGATATCAAATTGTTGCTTTATTCCTTTTTACTCAAAACAGTGAGACTAGGTATCTGTACACAAATTTGATGGATACTGGAAGGACGTGAGAAGCATAGTACTATCAGGCAGGCTAATTTGATGTTTATTGTGAGGGACTCCATCATTGGGATGGTTGATGTATACAGCTGAACATTATCTTTCATATTACAGAAAATTTAGAAAGTTAATTTAGAATATAGACTATGTAAGCAGACAAAGTCAAAGTCATACACTTAGTTTGGTGGTACATGCAGTTTTATGAAATCAGCTACTGGAATGTGAGGGTTGAGGACAAGAGTATGAGATGGGGCAGTAATTGAAGATGCTGTGCTACTGGAATGTGATACCTACCAAGTAAGAAGCGCACTTACATTTCATTTGCATTGATTGAATGGCTACATTAAGAACCTCAAATACAGTTCATCGACAAGTAGATACTTGAGCGAGATATATCCCTCACTTGTAGCTTTCATCATGCGACTAGACAGCCTTTCAGTTTCTCGATAAAGGCCACCAAACTTGGTTAAGTAGTACAGAGTTGGAGAAGGCTCATATTCATATATAAGGACAGCAATCATTGAAACAACTCATACGCGTGCATAAATCCTTTTAGCAGGCGCATGTTGTGTGGCTATGAAACTAGCCATGCTCATCTACAAGTCCTCTCTACTTCAGCATGTGCTTTTATAGCTCTCTGTGTACCTGTAAACAAAGAGATTCTAGATTATATAGCTCAGGTTGGATCAGGGGAAAGGTGTTGCAGGTAAGCAGACACCTTACATCATACAGTAGAACACGTTGTTGACCTGCACAATGAAAGAGCTCCAGTGCTTTTTTGATCTCTATCCACTATTAGCTTGTCACAAATAAAATACAACACTTGAATACCACATGGAATTATGAACAAGGTGCTACCTATGCTAAGAACAAGGTGCCTAAGTCACATAAACCTTGCCAGGAGGATTCTTAGACAATGCAGGATAAACAATTAAGAGTAAGATGGACTGGAAAAGTAACTGGCTCGACATCAAATTACTTAGGACATCAGCTAATTAGCACAGATGTTGGAGCTACATAAACAGAAACCTAGAGTTTACTTAAAAGAAAAAAATACTAATAATAAGCCAACACCAGTGCTGCATACATGATCCGCAATAAGTTTAAAACTAAAGGGAGAGACCTAAAGTGGAGGCCAAGCATGTTGCATCAACATCAGGGGTGAACCAAATAGGAGCTGGTAGAATCCTTTGTATCTTGTCTACATCGACAGGGTAGTAACAGGATAAAAAGCTTCCTTCTTTACAGTCATAAATCCCCAAATCATGACCTCCACAATTAGGCTCTTCCCTAAATATGTAAGCATAGGTTAGATCATCTGTAAAGTAAATAGAATTGGGCCTCAATTCCGGGAACATGGTGGTCGAGAGAGCAAAGCCGGGATTGGAACCAATGAAGAATGCACGATTGCCAAGGCTGCCTGGCAAGTATTGAAGCTCCACACGATCATGGTCTATAAAATCAAGCTTGAAAACATCAAAAGTTTGAGTCTTATAGGGATATTCGCGCTCAGCGTTCTCCACAGGCAATATCAGAGTCCCATCTTGGGCAATGCCATGTGCTATGTAGCGTGTAACAACAAAAAGCTCCTGGCTTTGGTGGTCATATACCAAGTAATCAGTGTCCCAACAGTAGCATGACTTGCACTCTAGCTCAGTATCATCCGCAGCAGAAGAGGGCCAATCATCACTGCAGCCTATATCTTCAATCTGGATGAGAAACCTCTTAGTTGGATCATTGTGGAGATCCCAAGCTTCAAGCTCCTTATCTTGGGTGAGAGCAAAAAATAGTTTCTTTCCACTGTGGAACACAATTTGAGTGTACTCGCGTAAGGGACCGTCGAGTGCAGTCCACGAATTGGCTTCAGCTATGCCAGGCCTCCTGCAGAATGCGAGTCGCTGGTGGGGCCCGTAAATGACCAACGCTATGCAGTCCTCTTCCATAGGATCAGGGGATGAAAGGATCATCTTTTCGACAATGTATGAAGACATACGTTGTGGGGTTAAGGGAATAGATTGGTGGTTAAGAAAGCATTCGACTCTGACACTGTTCCGAATAACGCCGTTAACACAGGGGAAAGTTTCAATGGATGGAAGCTGGATAGTCTTACCAGAAAGTGGGTTAAACATGAAGAGAAGACAATCTTTAGGCTGTATACAAACAAGCCATCCCTTGGATAATGAACCCAAGCAAACGGAATCAATATCAGGCATCATCACTTGCTGCTCATGTTGTACTTGTATGACATCCCCTTCTGCCAGTCTGTAGAATTTGAAGACGGTGCTGTCCTCCTTAAACTCCGGCAGTAGCATCAACCAAGGAGCCACACATCTGCTCACCACAGGACCGCTACAACTTCTAATCAGTACTTCACTAATTTGCCCTCTCATTATTTCCTTTGGAACAGAAGTTCTGACCACCAAGGAAGAGCTAGCCATGATTGAATTCGACACAAGAACCTCCAAAATGTATTTATAGATCAAGAATCGGTTTGCTTTTAGATACAGTAATCCAAAGTCTGCCAGGTTTCGGCTTGCTTTCTGTCGGCTCTCACTTTACGGAAAAATGTGTTTAAGGGCCGGGCCCGTTTGACAATAAAAAAAATTCCATATATTTTATTTTTGAAAATTTACTTTTTTTTTTGTTGAAATTTGAAAAACTCCAAAAAATTATTTTTTAAAATTTTTACTTTAAATTACTTAGTAGGCGTTTGGACATAAGAATTATAATTTTTTTAGAAAAAGCAGCATTTGAAGATAAGTTGAAAAAGTATTTGGAATTTGAAATTACGTTTGAACATGCATTTCACTTGAAAAAATATTGCAGTTTTGTGAGTGGAGAATTTTTTTTTTGAAAATTGGGAAAAAGGTTTTTTGAAAAACTCTTGCAAAATTTCTTGGACAAACACATTTTTGAAAAAGAAAATAAAAAAAAAACAAATTATGGACAAACGGGTCTTTAAAAAAAATTCAAAAACATATCCAAATTGTATTCATGTCCAAACACAACTCTAATTTTCAAATACCATTTTCACTTGAAATTTTTTTGTTTACTTTTTTCCCGAAATTTTACAATTCTTATATCCAAACGACAAAAGGTTGGTTAATCAAGGGTGGTCGGGGGCAAACAACAACAACAATAAACCCAGTTTGATCCTATAAGTGGGGTCTGGGGAGGGTAGTATGTACGCAGACCTTACCCCTACCTCATAGAGATAGAGAGGTTATTTTCGATAGATCCTCAACTTAAGAAATAATGAAAATAAAGCACCAAGTAGCAAAGAATGTTAGCAACAGTGTAACATAGTAACGTGTGTGAATGCCGCAACATGCGCAATAAAAAACGGTAAATAAAAAATTACAAAAATAGTCCTAGGACTATTGAATGGTTGGGGGCCAAATTAAAAAATAAGAAAATTTTGGGGTAAAATTTAAAAAACTAAAAAATAAGTTAACCCATCACCCAAAATAGTTCCCCACCTATCCCATTCTCTATTTTCTCTTTCTTTATTTTTCATGATCTTCCTCCCCCTTTCTCTCAAACTCAACCTCCAAAATCAGTTTTCTCACGATTTGGGACTCCAAATATCGGCTCCATTTCTACTCAACTTCGTTCAAAACTTTCGAAATTCCATCATCAAGGTAATTTTTATTTTATTTTTCTACCCCATTGATGAATCCTAAACTTGTTATTTCAACTTCTATAGATTCTTTTATTTTTTTGTGTGCTTTTGTATCTTCATGTCGTTGTGTAGTTTCGTGCCTAAATTTTAGAGCTGTCGTGTAGTTGATAATTTTGATTGAAAATTTGGTATTTATATATTGTTGATGAGGTTATTCCACAGACCTAGAAATCTAGTTGTTGTGATGTTAAAATGGCTATATTGCTCCATGTTTGGGTCTGCGAAATGATTTTTACCCATTTGTTTTAAACATCTCATTTGAATTTTTGAAACATCTTAAGAGATTGTTAAACATCTATGTTGTTATTGTTGTTGTTATATGTTGTGCAATTATTGCAATATTTTTCTGAGTTTGGTTAGTGGCATTTTGCGCTGATATTTCAAATATCTCATTGGAGTATTTGAAACATCTTAAATATGGTTGAAATATTCTTCTTGTAAATAACTCGTTGATTGTAAAATATCTTCAGAGATGTTTCAAACATCTAATTAGATGTTTGAAGCTTCATATAAGATGTTTGAAACAACTGTAAGGATGTTTAATAATCCAAAAAACGTTTCACCAAAGGATACCTGATTATTTATAGCGTTAATATTTTATATGTTAGGAGTAAATTATTTGTTTACTTGTTGATGGTTGTTACTTGTTTGAGTGTGTAGATAAAATGATAAAGGAATGTGTGCCAAAAAAGGAGAAAGAGGAAGAGGTGACTCTCCTTCTAAAAAACCTAGCAAAAAAATTAGGACATCATAGGAAAATGAGATACAACAATCAATTCTTATTATAGCTGAAGTAGAAGTTACACCTCTTCGGGTAGTAGGAGGAGGAGGACAGAATAATCAGGTAGAAGGAGACACTGCTACTGAAGTAGTAAAGGAGAGAATATTGGAGAAGAGGAAAAAAGAGAAAGAAGAGGATAATGAAAAAGAAAAAGAAGAGGAAAGAAGAAAGAAGAGGATAAGGAGAGAGGAAAAGAAGTGGATAAAGAGAAAAGGAAATAGAGAAAGAAATAGAAGAGGAGGCAAAAGTTGATGATGAAAAATCAAAAGAGGAGACAACGGTCGTTGAAGGAGAAGAAAGAAACGAGGAGACAAATATTGATGATGAAGAATCATAAGAGGAAATAGTAACTGTTGAAGGAGAAGAAATAGAAGAGGAGACCTCTGAAGATGAAGATCTTATGTTGAAACCAAGAGAAGAAGAAGCTTCAAGAGAAGAAGAAGAAGAAGAAGAGGCAGAGGCAGAAAGAAGAAAAAAGAAAAAGAATGACAATGCACCTTCTCAATCTGTTAAGGTAAGCTCAATATGTTTAAAACATCTCTCTGGATGTTTGAAATTCTCCTTGGAAGTTTAAAACATCTAGTTGGATGTATAAATTATCTATCTGGATGTTTGAAATATTTCATAGGATGTTTCATTAAAAAAAAGTTGGAAATAGATTTTAATAATTATTAAATTCATTATTCTTGTGCCTTTTATTAATCAACATTTTAAAATCATATAAAGATTGAGATGCCTAAAGATGAGTTTGATAGTTGCGAGGTTGAAATCTTAAGGCTTTGGCCGGAACTTCCACCGTTCAAGTTCAAGATATTTTTGGATGATAATGAGACCTTCATCAAGAACATCACAGTAAGATTCTCATTAGGATTAACGATTATGGGTGAGTTCAGAAAGTTGTAGCAGGATGAGGGCCTTGAAAATAAGTTTAGGACTAGTCCTTTCAGGCACTTTTAGATGTGCCTCAGAGGCCACTGTTTAAGGCATCTATATTACAGTAGAGTATTGTAGGAGAAGACCCAGGATTTATGGGTTAATTACAAAAGATTACCAGTCCGCTTTGGCCTTTGTGTGTTTGCCATAATGATCGAACTCAACTGTAGACATTCTTACCCTAATTTGAAGATTGAAAAGTACTTTCTTGATGATGAAGATTTATCAAAACTTATACCAAAGGAAAGAGAACTGTGACTGGTAAACTAGTGTTTGACTTAATCAAATCCAAATCCAAAAAAATTTAAAAACATAAATATGCACTATGCTTGATTTGGTTAGTTCACTACATTTTGTTGGCAAAGGATTTGAACTGTGGTGTGTCTGAAGATACAGTCAGACTGGCCTCCACAAAAGAGGCTTTCTACATTTATCTATGGGGCAAAAATATTTTTCACTTGTCTGTTGATTATACTATAAAAGATAAGAAAGAGCGTCAACAATCAAAGAGTGACTCTTATTAACCTCTACGGATTTCCTTAGACTTTCATGGTAACTAGATAAATCTTATTTATTATTTTTACTTTTGTGTTATTTATATAACCTTTTATATACTGTTTGATCACACAATGTAGGCTTGGACGTTTGAAGCCTTACCTCAATTACGGCCAAAAGATTATCTAAAAGAGAGGACTTTGCCGAGGATGAAGAGGTGGTTATTTGAAAAAGTAGAAAAAGACAGGCCCGATCCATTTCAGATCAAAGATGATCCGGTACGACTCATTCTGGTGTATGTTTCAAAGATGTTTGAAACATCTTTCAAACATCCTGTAAATGCTTGAAACATTTTGTAGAAAGTGTTTTAAACATCTAATGGATGTTTCAAGCATGCCTTTAATATCTATGCTTATAAATCTTTTTGTTTCCTTCCCAGGTAGTGTGCCCTTTTCTTTACCCTACAAAGGCTGAAAAGAGGGAGGCTTACATCCAAAATCTTATTATTTTACCAGATAAAGAGACATGATAATAGATAGCTTAAATAAAAGGGTTAGATAGAGTGACAGTCTTAAGACCTTTGGGTAGTGCCCTTAAGATAGAGAAAGGTAGTTTGCAAATCCCACAAATTAGATATAGCCATGTGGTTAAAGGATATAATGGTACATGAGAAAAATCTGTTGGTGGAGATGGTAGAATTAGAGGAGAAGCTATTCGTGATGATGTGTAATGACCCAACTGGTCGTTTTGAGCATTTGTACTTCGATCGGTGGTTTGAGGGCATGAATAGTTCCGTATGATATATTATGACTTGTGTGAATCTTCAGTTTTGGTTTTCGGGTTATTCAGAATCGATTTGGAAGAATGAATTTCATTGTTGAAGCTTTAAGTTGGAAGAGTTGACTAAGTTTGACTTTTATGAATTTGACCCTAGAATGGAGTTTGATGGTTCCGTTAGGTCCGTATGGTGATTTTAGACTTAGGCGTATGCCCGGATTTGCATTGGAATATTTCTAGAAGGATTCGATACTAATTGGCGGAAGTTGAAAATTTGAAGGCTTGGAAAGTTCACAAGTTTGACCGGGAGTTGACTTTGATGATATCAGGTTCGGATTGTGGTTCCGAGAATTGGAATAGTTTCGTTATGTGATTTGGGACTTGTGTGCAAAATTTGAGTTCATTCCGAGTTGATTTGCTATGTTTCAGCGCGAGTTTTGGAAGTTGAAAGTTTAAAGTTCATTTAAGATTGATTTGAGGTGCGATTCATTATTTCGATGTTGTTATGTGTGATTTGAGGCCTCGAGTAGGTCTATGTTATTGTAAGGTCCCGTAAAAATTTTCTAATGATTTAAGATTTTAAAGTGCGCCAGCAGTATTTGGGAATAACGTATTTGAGTATTAAAGGAGACCCATGGGATAGAACCATATCATTTTGGTATTAAAATATATGTTTAAGGCGTGTTGGAAGATATTAAGGAGTTTTGTGAATGGCAAGAACTTGTGTAGAACAAGTTGGACACATTAAGTGGAAAGGATATTTTAATTGGCACAAGACCCGACTTCAAATGAATAGAAATCCCACAATATAATGACTTAGGTGGTGATCTACCTATCAAATTAAAGTTCTTTGAGTCTAGTTTCCAACGCATTAAACCGTTCGTCATTTGGATGTGT